CTCGCCCCTAGTAAAGCTTATGTGTAGAATGAAAGTTTGAAAACAAACCACAAAAATCAGTCATTACCAAAAACATGCAGAACCACAGTTAACTTAGAGCGTAGCTAGCCAAAATGAATTCAAGTTGATAGATTTCTACAATAATTTTGCGAAAAAAATTAGGGATAATATTGAACATACAGGTAAATATAAGAAATTATTTCAGATATTATGATCAATTAGGTAACATATTCATGTTTAACTGAAAAGTAGCTTCCGCAATGTAAACTTTCAAATTAAATGTTATGTTGGACATGACGCAATGTATTCTAAATAATCAAAAGCAACAGAACATTGCTATACACCGCAAATGATCTGGGTTTTTTATCTAGCGCAAATAATTATTCCATAAAATAGAAATATATTGCCAAATTTATCTCTGTTGATAAGACTGCCAAAATTACAACTGCGTCGTATCATATTTTATTTTCAACTGCGTCGTATCATTTCGTTAAAATCATTATTTTCTTAGAAAATAAACATCTCTTTTTAATGAAATTTTAGTAAATGATGCAAAATTATATTTCGAAGTTTATGGTGAACTCTAAAACAAATATATAATTGATTTGAAGGAGAAACGATAGATAAAGCAATATGAACTGCGTCGTATCCACACATTTTCATAAAAATTCTGCCCCGCTTCGAGTTGCAAGTTCGCTATATACCTTTTGTTTTACAAAATAGCTGTGCAAGCAACATATACCGAACGAAGCGGAAAATAGTGTAGCGTGTTAATACATATATCTGGTTTTCAGTCATTTCCAACAAAAAAAGTTATGAACAAAAACATACATTTTTCGTTCCAAGATGGCGGCGTTTGCCTACATTTTGTAGGATACGACGCAGTTTTGATTCCCAGCCCTGTAATCTGAATCTAAGAAACAAAATAAGGATGAAATATTCATCTTGAACATTATGAAGGAACTTACAAAACCTTGTGAAAACATCAGTTCCTGAAACAGCACAAATGTGAATGAGAGCTTTACTTTTTCTCTTGTAGGAATGTCGACTTGACCGCTGTACAGAAATCAAAATGAAACTATAATATCTCAAGAATACAAAGCAATTTAAATGCATAGCAAACAACAGAAAAATGTTATTTATTTCAACATGTTTACAACCATAACAAATTCTACACGACGGAATACTGGCATTTAATGACATATGTGATCATCATAATCAATACATGACATGTTTAACATGAAACAATGTCTGGCATTAAGCGGCACACCTTAACGAGGTATGAGATCTATGAATAACATGAAGCATATAAAAATTACGCAATTACAGGCCATCATACTTCTTGAATACTTCCCGAGGCGTGCCCGTTTGGGCGGAAAGAAGGTCAAGTCATTCTTAATACCAGAGATGATTGGTAGATCTGTAATGACGTATTCACAAGGGCGTGGTCTTGTAAACGGTCGCCTTGGTGATGATGTCGTCGCCGCCTCTGCTGCTGCTAACGAACAAAGAGATGGTATAGATATCATTACAATCCGGCGCTAATGAGGGTACGAATACTGGAGCAGTAGGTAGCGCAGATTATCTGACAAGTTTGATAAATTACGGCGGCCGGTATAAATAGACCTAAATACAAGACACCATGCCATCATACTATTAGAACTGACATTATGAGCACTACTATACAATAGTTGAAAAGACAACAGCAAAGCATTATACATAAATTCGTTCGTTTGTTCGTCTACTAAAATAATTGTTTCAACAAAAGACATATACAAATATCAAATTGACGTTTTCTTCCAGTTAACGGATATCAAAGTCATCTGTTTAGATTAATTAAATTGAATAAGCACATACCAAATGTTGGGCAATTTTTCCAACAAACCAAGATGATTTGAGGAAGTTATAATGATAAATAGAGAATGTCTGCGATCGATTTTGCACTCAAAGTCATTTGCTCACAAACGTCGGCGCATACTGTTAAAACGACTTCTCAAATTGATATTTAAGTAGTACAATATAATTATGACAAAACAAATAAATACTACTTTAAAATTATGAAATACGACATAAAGGATCGCTCGTCCAATACCCTCAAAGCATCATTTGTTCATTAATTTCTAATTTAAAAGGTGACAGAGAGAATCTTTGTACAAAAAGGAAATTTTCGATACAGATGTTTGCCCTCTATCGCTTGAAGCTATTATAATATAAATGAATCTTTAGTTATATCTAAATTATAAGTCACATGTCATAGAACAAATATTCTTAAGACAGAAAATATAATACTACCCAAAATAATGATATTATCTGTACTATTACTAGAAAAGATGGACTTCCAATCGATGAGAAGAAACCATTGATGTTAATGAGATACAGGAAAATCCACTGACTTACAATTAGATATTGTCAACATGCCAATAACTGAAACACAAGTAACGTTTTAACAATAAAAGAAAAAAAAGTAAATTCTAGGTAATTCGATTGTTTCAGCAATGCTTGTCTCGTATTGCAGTAATAATATTAGATATCAAAGGTATTTGAAGTATTATGTAGTATTAAGATTAGTTAAACCCATTGCAATAAAATTTTGCAAACATTACTTTTGATCATTTGAAATTTTTACATATGTCAATATGTTGTATTTCTTTCTTTTTTATTTGTTGCAATCCTCTTTGGAATCCCTTTTTCATCTTAATACATAGCTGATCAAAAGATCGTTTTAAATTAAACAATTCAGCCACAAGTTTTAAACACATAGTAAGTAAGCATACACTAGAATAAAATGAATGAAGAATAACCTGTTGCCAGTGCTATGATGGCTGTTAATTTTATTAGTGAAGACTATGTTGGCAGAAAACGAATATGATTCCGCTAACTTGAATATGAACAGGAGAGAACAGAAAATTTAATACATAAACATCAATGATAAACATGTCACATATCTAGAACATATTAAAAAAGTTTAATCATCTGATTTTTGACATATATTAACACATAATTCATAATGTATAACAAAGACAGTAAGGTAATAAATACTACAGCATCAGGTCATATTATTCATAAATTTATAAATTTCGAAAAACAAATGCCTAAAAAAAACAAAAAACAAAAAACAATAAAAAGTAAATCATGAAATTTTAACAAATATGCGTTGGCATGATAAAAGCGTTTACTAGTAATATATTTCTTTCTTATTTGAGAATAACAATGAATAGGAATGACATATTCAAATAAACTTGAATTCATCTTCAATATTTCTTATGTTTACCATAAACAATATCTTTCAATTGAATATAAAGAGCGTAAAAACACTTTTTATTGGTTCTTTGTTAAAAGAAAATATAATGAAATCCAACACCTTTGATGACGTGTTTCTAAACCCATTCATTAAAATCAGATGGTCACAAAAAGTAATAATGCGAGTTGTTAATATCTTTTGTTTGATCGCTTATTCATATAAACAAATGAAAAAATATATATTGTTTTTTTACTCCGATGAAGCCTTCATAACATTATTAGATACAGCTTTCTTCGCGCGAATTGTCCAATTGTGATAGTTAAGGAAGTTCTAGAGTATTGGATAAGAATCGGAAACTTCTCTAATACAAGGAGAATAAAGCGAACGGTTTGATAGAAGCGTATTCACTACGGCATTTCCATATATATTGCACTTGTGACAACGACTGAATGTTGATTGAACACTAAAGCATTCTATTCAGAACATCGAGGCTATTTAATAATGTGACATTTAACATAAAACATTTTAGAAAAGACAATTCAAATTTGATTTATTTTGAGGATAAAAGGAATATCAGAAACCTGAGGAAAACAGGACAACGGTAAGCTTTGTTTAAAACACAATTTATCATTATAATAAAATTATTTGAGTATGCACATAGTTAATGTCAACCAATCTCACGAAATTAGAAGCCAGAACAAATACCTTTATTCACCACTATTTGTGTCATGTATGAATGTAAAGACTTTTTGTAAAGAGCATTGTATAATTGTACGCCATCAATATAATCACTTTTTAAAAAGATCTTACACATTAGCTGTAAAGCATTGCAAATGTGAGTGTTGTCAAAAACAGTTTACTCCAAAGGTATGTTTTAGATATTACAACTGAATTATTTGGTCTGAAAAGATCGCTTAAATTAACGCAGATGACATTTAAGATAGGAAACAACAAGAATTGACATTTTTTGGAATGTGTTCAGAATATTTTAGATTTAATTAAATATATAGCATCTAGTTTTACAAATCTGCCGTTATATTTTTTCATAGAATCTTTATATGTTATGATAATAAGTTAATTGATGAATAAATCAATTAATTGATAAATAAATAAATTAATTAATTATTTTAACCTTATTTTATTTTTTTTAATTGAAACGTTTAAAAGATATTTTCATTTATATTTTTTGGACAAATGAGTAAAATGTAATTGAATTTCAAAGTGTTGTTGCTTTGTTTTTTTATTTGCATAGTATGAAAAAAGAAAAGAAATTTTAATGTTTGGTACAAGAAGTGAAAGCATGGATAACGTAATCAATTAATGTTTTATTTTATATATAAGTCATGAAAGTCTTATCTATTTTGTTTTTTTCAGTGAGTTTTCCCTCCGTTAACAAAGCTTTGTGTAACATGTAGAGAAAGACGGTACAAATCATAGAGCATTACATTCCGATTTGCCGGATAGATCGGTGTATAGGTTCATTAACAAGTGAGTGTGCTTCAAAAAGACAATCTACGTCGATCTCTTACTTGATTTCTTATTATGTATATTAGTAAGTGTTTATGCTTCAAAAACAGCTAGGACAATATATATACCTCTTACCAAACCCTTCGTTAGTACGTGAGTATGCTTCATAAAACAGGACAATACACGCCACTAACTTGATTTTTTAGAGTATGTGTCCGTTAGCAAGTAATTGTCCTTCAAAACAGGGCAATTCACACCTCTTACCGGATTTCTCAGTGTATTAGTTCATAAGTAATTGATTGCGCTTTAAAAGAGGACAATTACTCTCTTCTCTTGTTTCGGATATCTCATGACATATGTATAAAAGTAAGTGCATTTCGTCAAAACAAGACATTTGCACTCACATTTACCGGATATATCATTGTGTGCGTACAGAGGTAAGTGATTTGGTGTTAAGGTGTTAACTCTAATGAACGGTCAAGCAAATATGAAATACTCAGCGCAACATATATTTTATAATATATACGGATGGTAAATTTTACGACCAAGAACCAATTCTGATTAAAAATGTTTACACAAACAATACTTTAAATTGTTCAATTTCTGTTGAATATAAAAAAGCTATCGCAAAAAAAAAATCTGCATGAAAACAGCTCAAAGTATCAAAATATGTTTCAAAAATGACACTTTTATTGCGAGTTTTTATTTGCTGCGCGTTGTGTGTTTCACTTGATTTAATAAACAACACAGAATCTCTGCTCACAACGGAGTCTTACCTTATCAGCCAGTCGAATAAAAGATCATGCAGCATAGCATTTACCAGTGACAATGCCACATCTGACGAAAAAGAACTTATTTGGGATAATATCGGAAATGTAAACGCTAATGAGTACGTGATAGTTAATTTATCGAAATGTAGAATAGAAGATGTTAACTCGTTTATTTGCAGTGTATGCTCCAAGTCGATAAACATGTCTATAAATATGTCTTGGAATAAAATCAAATCACTTGATGGAATTGACTGTACTTGTCATGGCATTATGGAAATAGACCTGTCAAATAATGAAATAACTTTACTAAAGGCGGAATCATTGACATTTGCCAAATACGCTACGAGGATTGATATATCAAGAAATAACATTTACAATCTTAACAAGCACATATTCACCGAAATGAAAATATTACAGTCGCTTGATTTATCAAGAAATGCTTTTCGGGATTTAAACGCCAACATTTTTGAGGACCTGGTATATTTACGCAAACTGAACCTCTCTGGAAATGATATACATATTATAGAATCAGGAACATTTATACATCTAACCAACTTGGAAGTGTTAGACTTATCGTGTAACAATATCCATACATTCGACATTGAAGCTTTTAAAGGTATTGAAAATTTAAAATATTTAAATATCTCTGGCAACAAGTTAACAGATCCAATATTATCTTATTTGACAATATTTCGTAATTTGTATTCGGTTGATTTAGGTAAAAACAATTTTGAAGGATTTGTAGAAGGCAGTCTTAACAAATTTCACATACATGAAATCATTTTGAACAACCTACCTGGTTTAAAATACATACTTACGGGTGCTTTTAGCAACGGATATTGCCTAAGCAGATTTGATATCAGCCGGAATAGAAAATTAATATTTGTAGAAGAACTTGCATTTCAGAATTTACCGGATAATATGACATTTGACATCAGCTTTACTAACCTAACATCATTTCCATTTATATCAAATAATACGAAAGTTAAAATTATCGAAACACCAATCAACTGCTCATTCATTCCGGTTATTGGAATATTTTCAAGAAATAATTCTTGCGAAGACCAATTTACTCATCCTGGGCAAAACATTGTTTCGCAAATAGAGGATCAGTATGCTCTCTATATTGGCCAACGCCTTCTGTTGGATTGTTTTGCAGTTGGTCAGCCAAAACCACACGTGACATGGGAACGTGTCCAGACGGGGCTGCATGGGGAAGTATGGAGTAAAGAAGTGATCGCTGAAAGTTACTTTTTAAACTTAAAAATATTATCATTGAATATGGATGGAAAGTACCGATGTGTCGCAGAATCAAATGGTGCAAACGTGTTTAGATATTTTCACATCAAAGTAAAACCAATAAATATTCAAATCAATGTGTTGTCACGAAGCTCTACCTCAATACTTGTCACGTGGAACAAGACACTCCAAAAACAAAAACACGTGCTAATATATCGAACTTTTGAGACATCGTCCGATTACGTTATTCAAAACTTGAATACGTTTGGGAAAATATTTGTAGTCCGGCCTTTGCAACCATTCACCCAATATGAAATATGTATAGCCTCGTTTTCAGATATAAATGATAAGTCATGTGTACGTGTAATGACTTTAAGTGAAGAAAATAAAACAGAAGGCATACGTTATAATCATCTTGCAATAGCATTTTTGATCATATCAGGAGTGATATTTGGTGTTTTTATTCTGACAGTTGTCTATAGATGTGTAGATAAAGTTCGAATTATTGCCAGACAAAATGTTTTTATTGTTGGTTCGGAGTCACGTGAATGTTTCGCTGACGTCACGGAATCCACATTTACGTACGAAAACCAACATGTTGAGCATATGAATGGTCAGTAGAAGAGCCAACAAATTCCTGACAATTGACAAAAATATTTGTTTCATTTCTCAATCAGACTGTATGAAGTCTCTGTTATTCTTGTATATTGTGCAACTGTTCTTATATTTTAAATTGTAATGCTAAAATAACCTTTGTTGAATCAAAGGAATCACAAAATGAGCTTTAGCATTTATTTGCCTGGCATATTACCTATAGAACTTTGATGACAAAAATGGTCAACGAAATCTTTCCATTTTCTGTAAACCAAACAATTAGGTAATCAGTTTTAGAGTTATGACATTTATTAAAGATATGGATAATTTCAAAATGTATTATCTGTTTCTAATATGAAAACAATCGATTCCCGTTTTTCTTATAAATTTTGGAGAAGAGATTTTATTTGCCGAATGCATTCATTTTTTTGAACCCTCAAGTTTTGTCAAAGATAAATGAATACATTGTCATTTTCATGAAAGCTTATAAATAAACAGTACAATAACTTGCAACCTTTGTTGTTTTTATTTTACGATATATTTCAAGTATACATTTTTATAGAACTTAAAAGTAATTTTATTTTAAATGTACATACGTATAACAGCCCGATACATTAAACATGTCATATGTCTAGATCATATAACAAAGGTTTAAAAAGCTGCATATTTCTGTAGAAAAGTAGATCCTAATGCATATATTCACAAAGTAATGCCATGTCTGAAATTCTGATTAAACCAATGTTTGTATGTTGCGACAAAGATTGAAAGGTCTGCTCGAAGCAAAATTTTATTGGCTTTTTGATCGTGTTAAAAATTAGAAAAATCCACCTAGCCTGTACACACTGTACAATCAAAAGGGCAGACAGCAGTTCAAGAGTCGACAGCTGTACCAGTATATACATGTCGGTGACGGACAGTAAGTATTCATCTATTTTTAACATATCCCAACTATGTTCGAGTAAATCAATGTTATGGATCGATAGTCAACATCCAAAGGAGCATGTTAACAAATTTCTGGCCCTGTGCAAGCTTTACTTCAAGTGAATTTTGACTGAAAAACATCACATTATCCGATGAGATGCGGCATTTTTATTTTAAAGTCACAAAAATTTATATTTTCTCATGATAAAAAATCCTTTCACCATACGATTCGTAAATGTCATTATTTTGTTATTAAATATTTCAAATCACACCTTCAATAATGCTTTTCTGTTAAAGTTACAGGGTATTTAAGTTTAAGCGTCATCAAAATTTTAGTAACGTCATCATCCGTTCGCCTCTTTTTAATGATAACATCGACAGCCTTTGTTTGTTTGTTTGTTTCATTTTACGCCTTTTTCCAACAGTATTTCAGTCATATAGGCGGGTAGTTTCCTAACCATCGTTCCTGGAGAGTTACACCAGTACTAGAAACCTTCCTCCGCGCTAAACTACCAAAGCATCTCCCGGGGATCGAACCCACGCCAGAGAGGTAACTGGATTAGAAGTCATCGACTCTAACCCCTCGACCACGGAGGCGGTATCGACAGCCATTTATCGGCAAGAATGAATAACGCTGAAAGCCGTTCAAGGAAACAATTTACAGCGCTTTTGTGCTAGAGTAACTAGGAAAGAGTAAAACTTTTTTGTTTTACACGTATTCGTCTTTGTTGTGCATTGGAGATGTTTTATCTACAATGACACTTTAATATAAGGAGGCAACAATCTATTGAAAAATGCATTACGTTGCAAACAATTATACCCTTATCTCGGGTTCCCTGTTAAAATTTAGTTCCCGTATGACTCATTGACACGTTATTAATAAGGTAAATAAAAAGGATAAAAACAAAAATACTATAACATGATATTTAAACATTACACTTTCACTAAAGTTAAACGTTATTTATGTTCCTAAAAGCTCAGTGAAATGTTGAACATCAGAAAAGCTTTTTTATAGAGAATCTGAAAACAATGTAATTTTGTTAAAAATAATAAAAATAAACAAAGCAAGACTAAAATATTTTCAATTGCTGAATGGGCGAATGCATATCTACTGGTCGCCGCGTATCTTTCATATTTGCACATTTTAACGACAACTTTTTGATTTGACGAAGCAAGCAATTTTATGGAATTGATATACAGACAGGTTGACATAATAAAATATTTTCTTTCATATGAACAATAAACTTTGAGTTTCCAATAAGAAAGAATAAGCAAACATCAAAGGAAATGTTTTTGAGTTAGCGACTTTTTCTAAGTTTAAACATTCAACAAGGTTTCTGAAATAAATGAAAAGTTACATGTATCAATAAATGAAACTTCATTATCTAAATTGGAACATAAATAATTGAAATATGTTACTCAGATTGAATAATGACATACTATATAATTAAACATTAGGACAAATCCCAAATTTCTGTTGAGACATTAAACTTATATATCTTTGGTTTAATAAGATGTCATTTACAATGTTATTGTCGTTAATCTTACAATTTAATTTATATTCCTAGTTTCATCCGATAACTTAAGTAAGTTCAAACATATAAATCTTGTATGGAAGAAATAATCATTAAACAGGCAACAAAATAATTTTCATCACTAAAATATGATGCCGAAAACTTAAGTAATGCTATGGGATAAGGCAATGTAATGCATTGTTTAAATATCGGGTAACGTCCTGATAACAACTCAATCGCATTTTCACATTTCCTTACATTCTCATTGTTAAACATTTCAGATGCTACTTAAATTGGAAAAGAAGGTTGGATATGATTCGAATGCATGAAGATAGATCATTTGCTATACTTATTTAATTGCAAATGTCTGAGGAAGAAAATAAAATGCTAAAAGTCATCTCAATTTTCATTCAAATGACGCAGGTGTAAGCTACAAATCACCTTTTCTCAGTAATTATATGTTATATATGAAGCATGTTGCTTTTATATTGTACATTTATAAGATATGTAAAATATTCTCGGAAGCGACACAATAATGAAAACGATGCTAATAAGTTCATATTCTCATCGACCCCACCCTTATAAAATGACTAACCCCTTAATCTAATTGAATTTAGAAATATTGATGAATGTATAAACTATTTTAGATGCCATCAGATAAACAAAAGTCAATAGAACTAAGCCAGTCTGTTACAAATACAAATATATATAGCTTGAATTATTGCTGTGTTACCTTTTTATGCCTTTTACCAAATGCTTAATTTTCAAAATGTTATAGACTCAGAATTAAACACTTAAATGCTCGGTAGGAAGTTGATGTTTTGAAATTACATTAACTTGTTTGTATTTAAAGATGTATTGTTTATCATACGCGTAAAACAGAGTCAACATCAAAGGTAAGAAAAGAGTATATTAATTAAACTTGTATAAATGAAATTAATTAACATCATATATTTCCCTCTGAATGTCTAGAAACACATCGACAGCATTAAATATTATTTGAGACAATTTATAATTTAGCAGCTCACTTGAATGAAGCGCATTTACATATTGCTTATATTGCACAACCCTGGTTTATTTCACGGTTCCTTTTTTCCAAGAAAATACAATACTGCTGGTATTTCTCGAGACATTGATTATTCCAACTTCTAACCAATGCAAGCAAATTACTTATAATTTACAATTCAAGTAGATAATTAACATATATACATGTATTTATACGGAAAGAAATCGGTCAAATCTCTTGCGTATATGGGAGAGTTTGAAATAAACAAGAAAATATATGATCCTTTATATTTCTTTTTTGTAATGTAATATGATTTAAATATTTTATCTTATTATCATATTTTTTTATCATTGTATTATTATTATTAGTAGTAGTAATATTATTATTATTATTACTATTATTATTATTATTATATTCATTTTTCTTATTTAAGTAAGTTTTACTCATGCAGTTTAATGCATCAGTCTTTGGGTTGACATATGAATCTTGCGCAAATTTATGTTAAAATGTCAAAGTCATTGGTTTTCGAACAATAATCATATGAGAAGCAGCTTTCAGATTTTTATTAATATTATACATGAGGACGGCTTCTATACACAATTATTATACCGGAGATAGTATTGAAAACATAATAAAGTGCTTTGTGTTTTACAGTTATTTCTTTCAGCAAGTGTTTTTTACTTCATTTCTCCAGTATTTTTCATTTGTTCGTAATGAAACAGAAATAAAGACGTCTCTGATACAAGAATTGTATAGCGTAAGATATGATAGGTACATATATTCACCACGATACTTTTATACCCTTTCAACTGCCATAGTGCATTTTAACGTAATTGCGAAGATTGCACGTTTGTTGTTGGTTTTTTTTTGTTTTGTTTGCTTTCAAAATACAGTGTACATGGCAATATACTGTTTGTTTCGGAACAAATGTGCATGTCAGTTGATGCTCTTATTAACATTACATAATAAAAACTAAAAAAATATAGGTAGGGAAGGGAGAGAAATTTTTTTTTACTAAAACAATAAAGTTAAAGAAATGAAAATACACACAATTCTCAATCGTTTTCATTTCGTTTTTCAAATAATATATTTCGCTTTGATAAAATTTTTATTAAGTATAAAAATAAAGTGTAGAAATGTTATAAATATTTTTATGACAAATTTAGCTATTATGTAAACAATTGTGTTTACTGAAAACGGTAAGTAAACGAAGTAATGTTTCTAATTGAAATTTTTTTATAGAAATTCAAGATTACATCACTTTATTTATCTTTTCAACCACGATGTAAGAAATCTAATTTCTGATACACGGAAAACACGTCAAAGGTCCTACGAAGGCTGGGCGAGTTCTTATTAAACATGTATGAGTATAGATCATTCAATCACTGAAGAAATATATGTCTAAATCTAACCAATACTTAGAAGGGCGCATTCTTTATTTAAAACCAAGGGCGCCTTTGACAAAGCATATACCAAAAACGTCTAAATAAATTAATATGTTGTTAGAAGACGCCACGGTCTTAATTTTCACTTCCGATAGAAGTATGAAATGTTAAAATCTTAAGCAGGCGATTTTAATTAAAGAA